CTTTGGAGCACTGAGCAGCAAGAAAGATTCTTCAGGCTGGTCTGCATTAAAAAACTTTTGGAAGTAAAATTTTGCTGACTGGAGCGCAGGGGGTGGAAGAAAAAAAAATGTATGTGTGTATATATATATATATATGGATATACATCTGTCTCACACCTTGACTGACAGACACTCAGGCAAACTCTGGTGATACAATTTTGAGAATCATAGCACTGAGGGAGGGACAAACCTTTGTTTGTTTTAATAGCAGAAGCTTTCTGTCGTCTGGAGACACTGCTTGAAGAGCTTTTGCTGCAGAAGCACTTAGGCCCTTGCTGGATGGATGAGTAATTTCAGCAATGCAGTTAAGTTTTCTCCATTTCAGTCTGCTTCCCTTGCTAATCTCTTTCTATTCACTCAAAGGAGCTTAAACTATGCCGGGCTGATTTCTCCACGATAACTCTCATTCCAGACCATGTCGAAATGCAAACAGAATCAAAGCGCAATAATCCAATGATTTCCTCTCAAATTAACATCGCTTCTGTTATCCCCATTGTTATCAAATCCCTCAAATCCGAACTGTCTACAGCTCCTCATCTGCCACCCTCATTCACAGTTATTAACCGACTATCCTTGAAATGGAGCCAGAAGGGTCGTGGCTTAGGTTGCAGACAACACAGGTTTGTAGGTAGCTCCTTTTGCTTTCTCCCAAACAGATTATTATATCTTGTAAACATTTTTAGAACTTAAATAATCCTGCAAGCTACTGGCATTGTAATTCTGGGTCATTTTTCAGGCTTGACCTACATTTTCTTTACAGCTTTTTCTACGGGAGATCTCATGTCCTTGATGTTTCTCATCAGCAAAGCAGCAGCTCGTTGTTTTAAGTAAGTTTCACATCTTATGCAAAGGCAGGCTTCGAATGTGGGGACTGTCCATCAGCTGGAATAACAGGGTCACCTTTGGTACCAGGAACAGCTTTCACATTGGACACAGGCTTGGAACCAAGTTAGTGGGAGATGCTACTGGTAAGAATAGGTTTTGAAGTCTGTTCTCCTTGCAGTATTCCTTGAAGGCTGGCACTGTATGGTCAGACAACCACTCCTTAAATATCTGGGTAACGATTCCGACCTTTCAATTTTTCATTTTATATGATTAGAAGACTGGTCTTCATGAACCTTCTCAACACTCTTTGGTTTTTACCATGATTTTAAAAAATCATGGGTTTTTTTAGCTTGCAGCCTCCCTCTGCACTAGCACGCAGCACCAGGGCCGAGAGGAATTGATTCCTCAAGTCCAAAGGCTTAGACTGATTTTGGGAAGCGCTGAGAGCAGGGCTGCCCACAGTCACCATGAAACGGCCTGCCTGGATCAGGAGATTCCAACAGCCTGCGAAACCTCAGCATTACCTTCAGAAGTCGAGAGAAAAGCTGGAATTAGCCAGTTTCTGGGCTGTTACACATCCTAAGCGTGATCAACTTGAAAGGCATGTGTTTTTCTGAGTATGATTTATTAACTGCAGGTACAGTTCCTATAATTATGGTGTCTTTTTTTCTTTCCACAAAGTTTTACCATTTATTCATAGTATCTTTCGAAAGACCTTTACGTTATTTTATGGGCTGATTCAACCTAACAAACGCAAGTGTTGTAAACACTGTACTATTCACCTCTAGGCATGGGCAGGAACATGTGATTTACTTCTGCCAAATGACATGGCATCTGATCAACTGGCAACAAATTCAAAATTAAACAGGAGGACCTGTGGGCAACTGCTGGAAAGACTCAGGTCCACTCCCTTTCCCTTCAGCATGAAATTCCATGTGTGCTGCGGGATCTAGACCACATCTTCCCCGGGCAGCAAGCGAGCTCCGTCAGGCTAGCAAGCACTCCCGCCACGTGGCCGCAGCCCTGCAGAGTTCCGCTCTTATTAAGCACTGTGTGGGCACAGGTCTGCACTAGATCAAAGCTACCACTGCAGATGGGTTGTGGGGAGGATGGCGCTGTGAGCCTGCTCGCGCAGGGGTGTATCAGAAACTTAAGGCTCTGAAAAGCACACTGAAAGGGAGCCCTAACTTCTGCTTTGCTATTATTAAATTAGCTGCCACCCTTTTCATGCTGCTGCCAGGCACTGTGGAAGAGATGCTGCTTGTGACAGGTCTGTAGGAAGAAGAGGATGTTATATGGCAGGCAGGACTGATGCATTTCCCAGCTAAAGAGGGATCTGATCCTCAAGTTCTTTCTTAGGCTGCAAAGGGGCTGAGTGCTGTAGGGGATCAGCACTTCGCAGCCTCCAAAGGACGCATGACAACAGCAGCATTGGGCTGATCTCCACGAGTGAAGGTGCTCTCTGCATCTGCTTGCCTCTGCCTGGTCTGCATTGGGCGGTGAAAAACCTCATGCATTTCAACAAGGCCAAGTGCAAGGTTCTGCACCTGGGGAGGAATAACCCCAGACACCAGTACAGGCTGGGGACCGACCTTCTGGAGAGCAGCTCTGCGGAGAAAGACCTGAGTGTCATGGTGGATGATAAGTTGACCATGAGGCAGCAGTGTG